GAAATTGTATCTAAATTTTATTAAAAAATATTTGTATATAGAATTGTTTTTATAATTTAATAGTATATTATTTCTTTTCTAATATTCAAATAATCATATTTGCAACTATATAAATTATTTTTATTTATAAAATATTTATTTTCTTATGAATCTTCTATTTATTTATTTTTAATTTAATTAAAAAACAAAGTTGAAAAGAGATACAAATAAATAATAATGCAATTCAGTCCATTGTTTGGGCCCAATGTGAAACGGTAGACGAATTTGGCCCAAATTAAAAAACAAGGGAAAAAATCAGAAGAAATTAGACATGTGATATAAAACAATTTATACATTATTCTTGTATTTATTATTTTTTATCTCAATCATTTATTACATTCGATTGATAATTTTATTGTTAAATTTGATGTACAAGTATTATTTCTCTTTTTTTATTTATTATTCCTAATACATTCAGACGTGCAATCCCATGCTGATAAACATTAATCAGCACAGACCAACGCACACTTTCTTCCGCGTCCTTAAAAAGAGATTTTTATTTTAGTGGCTAGAGTATAATAAATTTTTTAATTAAATAATTAACAGTTGAAATTATAATAAAATATAAATAAAAATATAATATAATAAATTTTCAAATTTCATAATTTTCATTTTAACTTTTTAATAATTATAACGAGGCTTAACAACCTCTGCTTCAGGTCTATGTAATAGTACGTTCCCTCTTTCTTTTATTAATATTTTCTTTTTTCTCAATTTTTTTTCTTTTAATTCTATTTTATTGCTTTATCAAATGGAAATTTGGCGCCGTAGTTTTCGCTGAATTGTGGTCCGATTGGTTCAATCTTAGAAACCTAGAAATTCCTCCAATCATATTTTCTCGGTATGGCCTGTGAGACCAAAATTTCCTTCAGGTTTCAGTTAGAAGAAAGTAAATTTGCTTCTAGATCAAAACTTACTAAAGACTAAAAAATAATGGCTTATGAGATATACACTTTTTTAATAAGTAAATCACTTTTTTAAATCCTAAATATTCTTTTTTTTTTTCTAGTTTTTTTTTTAATTTCACACCTCCAACATTCGAATTAATATTTTTTCATTCTTTTTTACACACCATTTTTCATCACTTTTTCAGTTTTTATATGGGTGTTTTTTTTCCTTTTCTCATTCTCTATTTATTTCGGTAAGTAATTTTATTTTTTAATTTTTAAATTACTCTCTTCTCCTCTTTCAATTTTTACATTGTTATCCTCTTCGTCCCTTTTATTTTAGTTTTCAAATGCACTTGATAGTAAAAATCATTCAATAATATTGTAGCCACGTGTAACTTTTTCGTTAATGTTGAAGATGTTGAACCATATGTGCATTTCTTCCAAAATTTTCTACCCTTTTAGAAATCACAACATTGAATTTAATTTTCCAAAACATTAATTTTTTTTATTCTAAAAAATACTTTCCAAAATAGTGAAATTCGTGTTCCAAAAAGTATTTTCAAATTTTTTTTCATATTTTAAAAAAATACTTTTTTAAACATTAATATTATTATTTTAGAAAGAACTTTATGAAATTATATAAAAACAACATATTTTCAAAAAAAAAATCAAAATACTAATTTTATTATTTTGAAAAGTACTTTCCAAACTAGTGAAATTAGTGTTTTGAAAAATAATTTTTAAAATTTTATTGTTTACATACCTTGAGAAAGTATTTTTCAAAATAGTAGTATTAGTGTTTCAAAAGTGTCTTTCATAAGTGTATCATTTTATATAACTCTGAAAAGTTTTTTTTAAAATAGTAAATTTAGTGCTTTAAAAAATATTTGTTAAAAATATGTAAAAAACAAAATTCTAAAAAATATTTTTTGAAATACTGACTTCACTATTTTAAAAAATATTTTCTACAATACTAAAATTAATGTTCCGAATTTTTTTCTTCGAAATACTTAATTTAATGTTGAGATTTCTAGAAATTTCTAAAAGTGGGGGGAGAAAGTCTCGAAAGAAAAATTTTGGATATGACTCGATACTACATTAGAAGTTAATATGTCTGCAACATGTTGGGCATTAATTTTATAATTTGAGTTCGTGTAAAAATTGAAAGAAAAAAATAATATAAAAATTAAAAAATTAAAATTAAAATTAAATGAAAAATAGAAAGATGGCATTGGTGTATGAATTTGGATGTGGTAACATTTACGTAGAAAAAAAAAAAAAAAAAAGCAAACATATTGGATTTGGATGTGGTAGCTAGGGATGGTAACAGGGCATGTCGGGTTCGGGTTTCATGATACTCGTTTCTGTCCCTGTGAGTCAAATTCATTCCCATCCCCGTATCCGTCAGGTATATGATTTTCATCCTCATCCCCGTTCCCTTCGAGTATCGAGTATACTTGTACCCGTATTCATACCCGTCAAACTTTTTTTTACTTTTTATTTTTTATAAAAAAAATATAATATTTTTAAATTATTTTTTTATTATATTATAATTAATTAGATTATTTCTCTATCTCATACTATAATAAATAATCACACATAAAAAAATATTAAAATTCTTTAATATAATTAAATTAAAAGTAGGTATTAAATTAAAAATAAGAATAGGAACGGGTACAGATACGAGTACGGAGCGAGTAAGTATATATTTATACCTGATTTAATATATCAGGTTTTACTCATACCTGATCAAATCAGGTATTCTCCGTTAAATCAAGATAGGTTTGAGTATTACTCGCAAGTACGAGTATATTTGTGATCTCTAATGTTAACACCGTGACAGCGTGGGGTGATCTTTGAAGCGATCAAGTAGCGGTGGCGGCAAAACAATGAATGGACGGGGATGGACCCCACCCAAGAAACAATTGATTTGGGCTTGGGCCGCGGGATTTGAATTCGTATCAAGGAAAACCTTTTTCTTTTTCTTTTTTATAAGGACATTTTTTTTTTAAAATAAAATTCCTAAAATGCATAGTTTTTTAATTTTTTAATTTTTTAATTTTACATCTCTAACTTTTAATTTACTATTTTCTTCTTCTTTTTTATACACTTTATTCATTCTCTCTTTCAATTTTTATATATATTATCTTATCTTTCTTAAATTTCTCATTAGTAGGTATTTTATTTTTATTGATTTTTACATTACCTTCTCTCTTCACCCCTTTCACTTTTTTATATTCATCCAAATTGTATAACCGTACATGATAACATTGTAAGTATATGTAGTTTCTTAACGATTTTTTTCGAACTAGATGCACATTTTTTTATTCCAACACTTCCTCTCCTTTCATCTCTCCAAAAAAATTAATATTAAATTTAATAGTTTAGTATTATGAAAAAGACATTTTAGAACATTAACTTCCCTATTTTGGAATACTTTTTAGGATTGTAAAATTAATATTTTGAAAAAACTTTTTGGAATTATTTTTTTATATACTTCTAAATAATATTTTTTGGAATAATAAATTAAATATTTCAAAAAGTATTTTATAGAAGTATAGTGTTTACATATTTTGAAATTCTTATAATTATTATATGCCTTTATTTACGATTGATGTGAGTGAAATTCTTTTAATATAAATTACATATAGTTGACATCGCTTTGTTCAATTTGCTTGACGGTGTGGACAATAAATTTTAATTGTATTCTCCACTATGCGCCCAATATGAATTGTGTTGAATTTTAATTCACTGAATGCTTTTGTTTAAAGCAAATGGGTTTTTTTTATTCAATTGTCGTGACTGTAATTCCATTGTTAAATTACATTGTGCGCACCGCAAAAGAATTATTTTAATTCAATTGAATGCTTTTGTTTCACTATGTGCAAGCCAATTGAATGAGTTTGTATTTGAAAAATTATGAAAAGAGCGTATGTGTTTTAAATTCAACGCGAATAATAAAAAAAAATAATTAAAAATGCTTTATATGTACTTAGATATCTACATCGGTGTATTATTTGAAAAAAAATTATAATTTTTTTTTATGGAAAGGAGTGATTTGAAATTGTATATTAAACTAACGCTTGTTAACTACAGAAGTGATTTAATATATATAGGTTTATAATTTCAAGTTACATCATTGATTAAAATAATGAGGTTATGTAATTAATATGTTTGAATTGTTTAAAATTGTTAATTATAAGATATACATAGATTATTCAAAGTTGAATTGTTACTTATAATTAATGATATAAAAGATTTGTTTTCATGCTTGTCGAATGTGTATCCAAAGATAACATGCATGTCAAGAATAATATGGTTTATTACTCATTAAAGTATATTTTTTTGACATCATTACTGTAACGACCTGTCATGTTCCTTACACTTAGTGGAATCACACTACTACGAGTGAACTAAGATAAATATTAGAATTGGACAAGTCATACATACAGACATATATAAAAAAATAACTAAGTTTCTATGTACAAGGTATAACATCATATATGTACAGTCATCCAAAATAATATCACCCTAGTACCGGTCAAGCACAACCAAAAGCTACCTAAGAAGGTAACTCTGACACTAGGAAACCAAAATTTTCACTCCTAGCAGCGGACGCGGCCGATAGCTCCAACCTATCCCTGATCTACTACCATACATAGTATGATCATAGCAGTCCATCTACACGGAAACAGAAGGGTAAGCTAGAGTTCAAAAACAACCATACAAGTATAGGGTAATGCTATACTACTCATTCGTCCAATCATCATCACAACACAACCACTCAATTCATCATACAAGCTCAACTATCAACCCTTTCATACAACTTATAAATGTTTGATTCAAATTAAATTTTAAAATAAATGTTTATTTATTTATTTATTTTAAATAAACTGAGCAGAAACTAAAATTAAAAATAATCCTCATAAAGAATTAATTTATTTTTATTTTTATAACTTAGTTTTGTGATACACGAAATTTGTTTTGAACCTTCCTCTTGCCCTAGCAAACCTCCTTCTCTTCTCTATTAAACGGTTCCAACACTCCCTCGCCGACCACCACAGGTCCTTCTCCATTAAACCGTTCCAACAGTCCCTCGTCGGCCACCATACCTCCTTTTGTGTTAAACCGTTCCAACAGTCCCTCGCCGGCCACCACACCTCCAGTTGTGTTAAATCGTTCCAACAGTCCCTCGCCGACCACCACACCTCCTTCTATTAGGTATTTTATGGCTTCTCTGCTCTGTTTCTCGCTTTCATTATTCCTCAGTTTTTATACTTTTATTTATTTAAGCTTTCATTCTGCTCTGTAAAAATAAGCTTCGTTCAGCATTTGTAAAAATACCAGTTGCAGTGACCTTGCTATTCTCTCGTAGATCACCGATTATTTTGACATTTATTACTTTAGGTGGTGCTGAAAATGAAACTTTCTTTCTTGCAATTCCTCAGTTTTTATACTTTTATTTATTTAAGCTTTCATTATGCTCTGTAAAAATAAGCTTCGTTCAACATTTGTAAAAATACCAGTTGCAGTGACCTTGCTATTCTCTCGTAGATCACCGATTATTTTGACATTTATTACTTTAGGGGGTGCTGAAAATGAAACAAGCATCATAGCCGAACATTTCTTGGTTACGGGAAAACAGGGATTCCGGGTCTGTATTCTCTTTTTTGCACTTTACTAAAGGGCATGGAAGCATCAAGTTAAAATATAAATTCCTTTATTCTAGACTTTTGATTTGTGCTTTTGCAAATTAGAATTGCATTTTTTACAGTGCTTTGGGGATGCTTCCTGCTTTTGTTTTGTTTAAAAATTTAATTTTTTTCCATCCCTCATTGCACTTACTAAGCTCTTTACTCTTGTTTCATTGTGGAAAATCTATGCAGAAGCTTTTTGTTAGTGTCAGCAGGTACATCTGAGTATACCTTGACCAAAGAGGACGTTGGTTGTTGTTTGGCTTTTGTGTACATTCCCATTAATTTTGAAGGTTTAGCATCCAGACTTCCATCAGTGTATCTTTTCCAAATACTTGTGACTTGTTTCTATAATATATTCATTTGTATCTTTCAGGTCAGGAAGGAAAATCTATGTCAGTAATGTCTCCTGTTATGAAACAAGGTACCTTGATGAGTATTAGCAATATCTTCTGTTCTTTGGTTCTGTTTTTTGTCAGTTCCATTGTATAATATTTTACTAGTATCTGGTGCCATTTTTTTGTTTGTGGCACCGACATATTTTTATCATTATAATCTTTGAATGGTATTTGTTTGTGTCATGTACCAATTTCTCATTCTTAGAGGTATAAGCCCATTCCTAGGCCTCCACCAAACAACCAAAGCTTTAAAGAGAATTGACCTTTGACATTGTATGGAAGCTTGTCTACAGTTGTCAGGAGTTTGATCCTTGTTGATATTTAAGATTGAGTCAACATTAACATATCAAGCACAAACAATTCTCACATGAAGGTTTGTATTGAATTTATAAAACCATCCTGAGACTCAACATAATATTTCAAGCCACTGGGATAGTTTGAGTTATTCATCTTGCTTTGATCTCAGAGTATTGATACGCTTAATCATTCTATTATAAGGGATTTGTCTGTATTTTTCTCTTCTCTGCTCTTTGTGATTTATATTTTTTGTTCTTAGTTCCATATCTCCCTTTCTGGAATTTTCTAATTTCATCCTATAAAAGAAGACTTCCATCTTTCACACTTTAAATTCTGAAAATAGTTTTTTATATATTTGATGCATCAACATTCATTCTTCTAAGAATTTATATATACTTGCCTGTCCTCTGTCTCGTCTATTTATATATACTTGCAATAATTTATATATATTGTTCCTACAATTTAATAAGTTTTACTTTCAGGTGTAATATGTTGATGAAGTTATACTGTGCATTCATGTTGATAAGTAACATAGGAGGGAGCCAATATTCAACAAAAATATATTGCTGAGAACCATACCTCCTAACACCCAAAATGCTAGAACCATACCTCCTAACACCCAAATTGCTACACCCCCATTACCCCAAACCCAAAATGCTGAACCCACATGCTCCCAAAAACAAAATCAGTTACCTTCTTCTAGAGCTTCACATTGTGAACCTAGTAGCAATGCATCACCAATGTCAGTACCTTCCAGACTTTTTGAAATTCCTACTGGAGATGAAGAGCAAGTGTCCAACAATGATCCTCAATAATTAGGTTTTATCCAAGCAGGGTAGCATCTAAGGCAATCACATTGACTATTAAGCAACAATTTGTTGAGCCATGGATGACTTGGGGTGCAATGACGGAAGAACAAAAAGATATCTTCTTTCAGCGTTTTAAGGTACATAATTTGTTTATTATCATTCTATTCTAAAGGGATTACGTTAAATGCACTAAGTTTATAGTCATGAATAATTTAATTGCTTCATTATTCTGTTAATGCAGAAAAAAGTTTCATGGAGACCTGAACATGAAGATAAGATAAAAAAAATATTTCACACAAAAGCATCTCATAGGCTTTCTGAAATGTTCAAGAAAGCTCGTCAAATAAACAAGAAGCCTGATTGGATGTTTGATATAGTTTGGCAGAGTTTGATTGCCCAGTGGATGGCCCCAAAATTTAAAACAAAGAGTATCCAAGCTCAAAAAAATAGAGCATCTGAGAAAGGTGGAAGTCTACACACAGGTGGCTCAATCACCCATCACGAGCATGCTATTCGGATGGTAATTACATTAAACTAATATATTTTATTTAATATAATTTTAAAAATATGATGATTAACTATTTATACAATTATAGTCACAAGAGTTGGGTCGCCTTCCACATGTTGATGAGTTGTTCCACCAAACTCATGTACGGAAGCTTACAGGTGATTTTGTTGACCAAAGATCTAAGCGAACATATGTGAGTTATTTTTTTCTTATTATTGTTTTATTCTTTTCAATTTTAATCATCTTTGATAAATGTCACTACTAAACATCTTTATTTGTGAAATAGGATCAATTTGAGACTATATTTAATCAAGCTAGGTTTGAGGCTGCATCTTGTACGGGAGGTTCTGAAACGTCTTCTATGGACCCAGTTCAGGAAGAAAGACTCCGCAATAAGAGTTGGATTGTTGCTGCTGGTGGGGTTACAGACAAAAGATGACTTTATAGGTTGGAAAAGTCACTCCTCCATTGACATTGATGGATACCTTCACAAATATATCTTCTGCTCGTGCTACTGAAGATTCAGACAAAATTATTCAATTAGAAGAGCAAGTCCGTAAGTCTAGGGAGGAGGCTCGTCAATCTAGGGAAAAAAATGAACGCTTGCAACGCCAGTTTCAATCCCTGTTCAATGTTGTTCTACCTCTCCTACCTTCTGATACACAACATATTTTGCAACAACAAGTGGATTAACAATTTCATGACAACCACGATGACCAACAACCACCACCTACTAGACACTATGGAGATGACTATTAGTTAGATTTTTTTTAGATTATGGATCCACAACTATTTAAATAATTTTATTAATATTTTATTATGTATAATTTTATGCAAAATAGTCTTATTTTACACTATGACATGGAAACTAATTATGCATAATTGCTATGGGTATTTAGATTTTAAAGATGTTTCATATTGTGGTTATAGGATATTTAAAGAAATCTGAGAAGTGATTTTATTAATATTTCTTACCAGGTAAAACTATTTATAATGATTGGTGTGGAAAGGTAAAACAAAACAATCTATGCTATGTTGAAATCAGTTATCTACGGAAATTTCCGTAGATAACTTAAATTTTCGTAGATAACTTATCTACGAAAATTTTCGTAGGTAAGTTATTTACAAAAATTTCCGTAGATAAGTTATCTACGGAAATTTCCGTAGATAAACTCATCCGTAGATATATTCTGTATCTGTAGATAAAATCCATAGGAAACGTTACCTACGAAAAATTTTCCGTAGACAACGTTATCTACGACCTTATTATCTACGAATTTTTTTGGTAGATAATCTGTAGATAATTATCAGTTATCTACGGATTTTCATCATTATCTACGGATTTTTTTCGTAGATAATGCTGATTTTTCTTGTAGTGAAGGCTAGGAATAGATTTGGAACTACGTTGAAATAGTTTCTATTCTTAATGCGAAGTATCCAACTTAATAAAGTTAATAAAGTGAGGAATCATTTATTAAGTTAGACACTTTAGAATTTCTAGCTACCAAGGAATTGATTTAGAATGAACTTTTAGAACTCAATGGTATTGGATAATAGAATCTAGATGTAAGAAAGGTTAGGAATGCATAAGAATGAGATTGTTGAAATTTAATCCCAAGGACTTTACATATTGACATTTTTCTATTTCAACTGATTTGCATACTATTCTGCATCTGAATTACTTTTGTTTTATGTAAAAATTTGTCGATCCAAATTACTAAAAATTTTATTTTAACAAGTATCAACTAGTATAAAGGAAATCATATTTATCTCACAAGTCCCTGAGGTTCGACAACCCTTATTTTACTATACTACAAAGACTTGGTGTGTTTGCTTGAAAAACCAACAAGTTTCTTGATAATTAGAAATTCTAAAGTGTCTGGCTTAATATACTTGCAACACTTCCTCTTATGTGTAACTCACAATGTTTGCACTTCGTAAACCCTTACCTACGATTCTTCCATGATGATGAGACTTAGGTACCCCCAAACTTCAACTTTCGATAGCTATTCGGTACAAAACTTAATAGCTTACTCTACAACATATCTTTCGACAATTAATGCTTTTGACGGTATTGATTCTTTACATACCCTTTTAATATCTTCATGTATCACTCAATTGGGTTCATCCACCGTAGAGTTGCCAAAAACAATAGCAATTTCATTGTTAAAGAGAAATAAGAAGAAGAATAGAAAGTGTGAATGGGTTTACATCCTCTCAGTGACCTAATATTAGGACATTTTATGGCGGGTGACAATTTACCCATCACAAAATATGAACTTTTTATGACAGGCAAGTCAACATCTGTCACAGAATGGTTGGAGCCAAAGGCTGACCAACACATTTTATGATGAGTATTGACTTTCCTTTCATAGAAAGAAAATTCGATGACAGATAAGTCAACACCCGTCATAGAATGTTTTGACATATTTACAAGTATGCAACCACACCACTTTCCATGTTGTGTGAATGACACTCGACATCAAAAATGTGTATTTTGCACTAGTGGATTTACATACTCGTGCCCTTGCCCTTTCCCACAATGAAATTTTCTACGAAGACCATTTTCGTTACATTTAACAACAACCCAATGATCATCACCTTAGCACCATATCTCCCTTGTCCTTTATCCACGATCCCATAGTTGACACTGCAAATCACCCTTATCCTAAACCACATGCACCCATAGTTGACACTACTTCTCTTCTTTCTTCACCCATAACTCCCACTTCGACTATACCTTGTTGTTCTACTTGACAACAATAGCCACCCTCATACTTGAAAGATTTTCACAACACTTTTGCATCAACTTCAACTAATCATAATCCAGGTATTCATTATCCCATTGAAAATTATACTTATTATGATTGTCTTTCACCCTTGTTTCACCACTTTATGTCTTCTATATCTACTATCATTGAAATCACTATCTCACGCAGTTTCTTTGAGGCCAAATATATACCAAGCTCTTGCCTCCACCACTTGTGAGTTCCAATGGCTCACTTATCTCCTTGAAGATTTTCGCGTCTCATTAATTTACTCATTCCACTCTCCTCTATTTGACAATCAATCGACTCTTCAAATTGTGACAAATCACGTTTTCCATGAGCATACTAAGTATATCGAAATTGACTGTCATATCGTTCACAAAAAGGTCAATTCATATTTGCTCAAGCTTCTTCCAATGACTTTGTCTTTATTACAACTTACAAACATTTTTTCAAGGCCTTATTTCTAAGCTCGGAATGATCATATATTCCCAACTTGAGAGGTGGTCTTAATTATTATTCTATTGCTTCCTTTTTCTATTATCATTAGTTTGTTAAATTTTGTTAGTTAATTATTTCTTTTTCAGCTATTCTCATGTATATAAACCATATTCTTCTATTCAATAAGATAAAACAATATATTGTTTATTTCTCTTTCATTTTCTCTGTGTT